AGCAGACTGTCTTGGCCTAGAGTTTTAGGAATTGGGGATTGAAATCTGCCATACTTTTGCATTGAAGACAAGACATTGCTGACTTAGGCAATGGATTTCTCTTGCTCTTTTTCTTTAAACACAAACATATTATTGTTTTAAGTTTGCCACTGAACCAGGGAGTTGAAGTAAATACATCATCAGCAATTGACTCAAGAGGAATTAAGTAAAGGAATTGAGTTCTTTGTCTCTTTGTTCACTTTTTCTCCCACAGAGGCCATTTCTGGAGGTGACTACTGTTCCTCTCAACTTCCTTGTATCTAAAAGGATCTATGAAATTAGAGACAAAGATTTAAGATTATTCTTAATATTGTTAATAATGACGTCTTACATTGGTAAATGCTTTCACATTTTGCAAAGCACAGGCTTTTAAGATGTGTGAGAGTATAAATTATGTTTTTCTCACTGTTTATCTCTAATCCTTATCCCAATACCTGCTGTGTAATAGATGTTTAACAAATACACGAATGAGCCTCAAAATAACTCATTGGGGTAGATTTGGAAGTTATCATCATTATTCCCTTTTTACACAAGAAGAAACTAAGTCTCAGAGAGATTTCATGACTTGCTTAAGGCCACCCCACTGGTAAGTGGTGGAAACAAAACTAGAACATAGTGTTTTGTTCTGTTTTTCTAGTACCTAGTTTGTGGGGAGGAAGAGGTGGGATTTTCTGAAAAGTAGGCTAGTTTGTGATTACAAAGATTAGGTTCCTTTCCAACCTATGTGAGAGGACCCTGAGAAAATGTGGGATTATTGCAAGGAGTTCAGGGATCCACATGCGCACAAGGAATTGTCTGAAACATGGGCAGAGAAGGGGGAGAGAGGACCCAGCCCCCTCCACAGTTCAAGCCTCCTGGAGTAAAGAAATCCCAAATAGAAACCCAAACATGGCAGCACAGTTTAGATCAGAGCATCTCAAACTCTCTCTGGTGAGATACCAGTCCTAGATTTTGTTCCCCCAATATCTATTTTGGACTAATACTTGTTAAAAAAACAATGAAAATAAATAACTCTTAATTTCTGCACTTATCTCATGGACTAGTAACAAAGAGTTTAAGTTCCAGCACAACCCATAGGCCATATCTTGAATAGCACTGGTTTAGATTTTTAGCACATTAATAATATTACAGTTGTATTCACAATAGTTTACTACAGTATTTGTGAAAAGTATCAATCTACAGTGTACTACGGGTGGTGAGGACCAGTGTTGGGACACAAGTTTAAGTGTGTGTGCTGAACCAGTTCTTCTTTCAACCGTGTCCATGCACATCTGGTGTGTGACCCCATTTAGACGCAGCATCAAGAGTCTAGACTTAAGGCACTTTCTTGAGGCACAGATCACAACAACCTACTGCCCCCTGTACGAACCCTGCTCACACATTTCCGTCCTACTGTTTTTCTGATGTATGAAAGACTATTGCAATTAATAAAACACAACTTAGGCACCAGCTCTAAAGAATTTATATTAGCTGTTTGACTTTCCCCTATTCAGTCTGTATTGAAAGTACAACTGGTATTTTGTGGGAGAATCAACAGAATTTCAACATTAAAAAGAAGTCCTTACAGTTGGAATCTTTGGTAACCACTTCTCCACACAGACCTTGAAGGATCTGGGTGAAGGTTGGCTAATTCCCCTATGTTTGTGGAATCTCCCATATGAGGACTGTGCTGTCTTGCCAGGGGCTCACTGTCAGTTCCCAGACCCTGGGTTTTCCAGGAAAGAAAGCAACGCATCTTTCATCCACTGGATACCATCCGGTGTACCAGGCACTGGCTTAGGCAGCAGGACAGGGTGGTGAACAATGGCCGTGCCCCAGAGGAAGCTCAGGAGGAAGCAACTGGAGGGTTTGGGTCAGTTCACCAGAGTTACAGGGGTGGGATGTGGGGAGCAGAACCAGTGTTCACCCCCAGGCTCCTCCCCTGAAGTGAGGCAGTGGGGCTGGCAGCTGGACTTCTGCCCCTCACACACCTGACCCTGAATGAGCTCTTCCAACCCTTGGTACTGGGTCTGGGTGGCCTTCTGTTTAGTGCAAGAGCTGAGCTTAGTGCACAGAATGATAGTAATAGCAGCTTAAGTGGCTTAAGGACATTGCCTAGATTTCCAGGCAGGAGTGGAACAGAGCAGAACAGGAGGCTGTAGCTGGCTTCCTTGACATGAAGCAGAGACACCAAGTGTCTCAGAATGACAAGGCTGGCTGACAGTCTCCAGACACAGGGGCAGAGGTGCAGGGGTACTGCCTCTGACGAACACGGGGGCAGTTTGTGTTCTCGAGGTTGGGAAAGACTTTGATTTTTCTGAGTAGAGGAATAGACAGTTCTCAAGGGACAATGGGCTTCTTTTCTAGCGACCTCTGGAGACAGGTACAATTTTTGCACTTCTCCCGTTTTGGGGAAATTCCTCTAGACCAATGCTGCTCAAACTTGAATGAGCATGTGAATAACCAGGGAACTTGCCACAATGCAGGTTAGGTTCAGATGGTCTGGGCAGTGCCTGGGATTCTGTGTTTCCAACACTCCCTTCTGGGTGACAGTGAGGCCACTATTCTATGGTATTGCTGGTCTGTGGGCAGTGCTTTCAGGAGCAGAGACCTGGAACCCACCTGGTAGCCTGGCACCATGGGAACTGGCCTCTCCTGCTTTTGAGGGAAGCAGTGATCTTTCTTTCACCTACACTGCACACTCCAGTCACCACATTGTCTGCAGTGGCACTTCCTTCTCTCAAGGGTCTTAGGTAGTCTCAGGAGATATTGCTGGAGAGTATGTATTGGTTACTGTGTTTAATCATTTAAAAAACAAAACCAAAAAAAAAAACCTTTGTTGTGCTTTTGAGTACATCTTCAGGGCAAAATGCTAGCGGTAGGTGCCATGCGCAATCAAGGTTTGCTCAGTCTCATGTCATTACAAGGCAGTGCCCTGACCCATACATCTGACATGTCTCGCACATAGTGGGGGTTGTCCACTCTAGTAAATCCTACCTCAGGGAGCTTGGCAGTCCAGTCATAAAATGATGAGCTCACATGTTATGCTCAGTGACTTGGTCCTGCAGCAGCCTCTTGGAGATGGATGGATTACAGAGTAAATCTGTAAAAGGAACTAAATTCATTGATTATATGTTGGAAATTGGATTCAGCTGTCATCAGATATAGCTTGTCATGTGAGCCTCCTGGGTTAAAAACAATTTCAGAAATCTAAAAACAAATTCCATTTTTATGTTTTGTCCCTTTTGAGTGACATCAGATAGAGTTTCTCTTAGAAAGGATGTAAAGGCTTAAAGTTCTTTCATAATGAAACTGGAAAGTGATTTCAGGAGAAGGGAGGCTTCATGTCACAGTATGTGCTTATAAGCCCCAGTCCTTCATTCAGTGCAGTGCATCCCAGGTCAGTGAGTGGCTTTTTCATCAATTTGCCGAGCTGATGGTACTAGTTTCTAATGAAAAGATAATCATGTAACATAGATCAAACTGATCTTCCAAAATTATTTTTAGTGGATTGGAAGAGGAGCTCATTTAATGTCTCTTAATTTCTTTTCTTTTTTTTTTTTTTTTAGTTTTTTATTTTATATTTTTTTGTAAGGAAGATTAGCCCTGAGCTAACATCTGATGCCAATCCTCCTTTTTTTACTGAGGAAGATTTGCCCTGGGCTAACATCTGTGCCCATCTTCCTCTACTTTTTATGAGATGCCACCACAGCATGGCTTGACAAGTGGTGCGTTGGTCCCTGCCCGGGATCCAAATCTGCGAACCCAGGGCCATTGAAGCAGGGCACACAAACTTAACCATTATGCCACCGAGCCAGCTCCCTAATGTCTCTAATTTCTTCATTTATTTTTATAGGTCACATTCCATCCCTAAAACATTCCATGAGTCTGTCAGTGACTTTGATTGAAGCAGAAATTAATCTTATCAAATATCCTGATGGGGGCTCAGAAGAGTCTTTGCTATTAAGAGGATTCTGTGGTAATGGTATTTATCTTAATCAGATTTGGCTGACAAATCTCTCACTCATAGAATTTTAGAAGAAAAAATAATCTCACCAACTTAGAAATCGTCTGGTCCAACCAACTCATTTTGCTGATGTGGAAACAGCTGGGGAGTTTTCCCAAGGTCATCTGGGCCTGTCTTTGAATCCCAGTGCTGGATTCCACCCTCAGCCTCCCGCAGTGCCTTTCTGTCTTGATTTACAGATGTGCTACCATGGCTTTGAGGCCTGAGGCGGCAGGTTTTCCACGTTTCTTAGTGAGAGTCAGGGTGTTACCATTCATTGCATTTCCACACCCTCCAGACTGTGCCTTCTAGCAGAGTCGCAGTGGATTCACCAATGCTCCAGGGAGACAAAGTAGTGTGGTAGGAGCCCATATTCTTTAGCCAGGTGGCTTTGGTCAAATCCTACATTGCTCAGTACATGTTGTGTGACTGGGCAAGCCACTGAGCTTCTCTGTGCCTCCATTTCTTCAGATGTTAAATGGGGACTTTCCTCATGGGATCATTGTGAGGAATGGATGAGTTAATACCTACAGAGCAATTAGAGCAAGAAGTCAGGTGCTTTCTATGTGGAATTGTGTGTGGGTTTGCAAACCAAGGGTATCCATTAGGTATTGAGCTGTGAAATCAGTGTTCTGAGTCATAAATAGCTTTAGAAAAATTAAATGGCATATAATAGAATAAAATACAACATATTAGAGTGACTGCATCTGTGCACGGTATTCTTTGGTGTCTCTTTGGCTCGTCTTTTTGGTGTTCCTTTTGTTGCGTGTGTGTGTTTGTGTGTAATGGCTTACAGCGTAAAATCTATTTCTCACTGTGGATTGTGGTTAAAAGAGTTTGGAAGCCCCTGCTCCAGGGACTGGAGTGAGTGAATCCATTTCTCTAAGCGCACACGTATCAGAGTGAACGAGGCACATTTTAGACAAGAATGTACAAGGTGAGCTCTGGCTGAAACTTAAATATGTTTCCTTTGCAGAGGGAAACCAAAGGGCAGTTTCTTATTGACCACATCTGCAACTACTACAGCTTGCTGGAGAAGGACTACTTTGGCATTCGTTACGTGGACCCAGAGAAGCAGCGGGTAAGAGTCCACCTCTGTCCAGACCCATTTGGGGGAATGTCTCAGGCTATGGGGTGCTGAAGAGGCTCCTCTCAGAGCAGTCATTATGCACTCTTGTTCTCATGGTAATTGACCACATGGAACTGACCAGTCCACTGTGTGTGTGTGAGTGGAAGAGTCTGGCACTGTTCCCACTGGACTGGGTGGGGCAGGAGAAGGGAGAGTTTATCTTAGGCCTTTCCAGAAAGCTGCTGCCACTCAAAGAGAGAATGTTCCTGTGCCCTTTCAGCCCAAAGTTTTCCAAAGCTCCTCAAACAGTTGCTACATAAAATCTCATTATAGAGAAAATCCACCCTTCACTATAAAAAGCTATTGGTAGAGAGGGGAATGAGGCAGTTACTGCTTAAAGGGTATGAGGTTTTCTTTTGGGGTGATGAACATGTTTGGAACTTGATATAGGTGGTGGTTACACAACATTGTGAATGTACCAAATTCCACTGAAATGTACACTTTAAAATGATTAATTTTATGTTATGTGAATTTCACTCCAATTGAAAAAAAGTTTTTGGCAGATGAAGAGTTAAGATACTTTGAAAGGTACTCTTTGGGCACCACTAAAGTTGACAAGCCCCATTGTGTCCCTGTTCCTGGACACACCTATCCTTCCTGGTATCGGCGTAAGAGTGAGCAGGGGAGTCTTGCCTTCTGACCTGGTGTACCAGCCTATGTGTGTTCAGGCATGGCATATGCCAGACTCACACTGATGTGTGTCCCTCACATCCAAAAGGTCCTGGGAATCTTCATCCCAGTTCCCACCAGCTGGGTTTCCCATGCCTGTAACCCTGCTGTGGGTCCCAGCTGTGGAGTAGGAGGCCCTGTACCTGCTCCCATCTCTGCTTCTTACCCTGCCCCACTACCATGCAGGGCAGTGTGTGAAAGAGTCAGCTGAGGGTGGTTAGAGATGGGGGGACAGATCTCCTCTGCCTTCTTTAATTTGCTCTCCTCTTTACCAGTGTCCCTGGACATCTTCCTGTCCCCTCTTTTCTCCCACAACCTCACCTCGCTCTTATTTTCATAGTTATTGACCTAATACAATGAGGAGAAAGGCTAGCAGAGTTTGTTTTTTGTAAAGGAGAAGGCTGTTTAAGGAATAGATTAGATTTTCTTCTGAAACATGGAGAATGTTACTTAGTTCTTAGACTCCAGTGGGACCTAACGTTCTATATATGGGTACAATGCAGGGGCTCAGAAGAAGGAGATTTTGCTTTCCCATAGAAATTACAGCAACCCTTTAATGGGCCACACATTTTCCTGAGTAAGAGGAAGGAAGCAGGACCCTGGTGAGGAGGTAGGGCTGGCATAAGTTCACAGAGGGGATTTGTGTGGCATTTTCTACTCGTTAACTGGCCCTGCAACAAATTCACCTTAGGTATTTGCTAAAAATGCTGAGTGTGGACCTTATTCTAGACCTCCTGAATCAGAATCCCTAGGGCTAAGGTTAGGGACAGGAATTTTAATACATCTTGGTCCTACTTTTGATGCAGCCCTCCCAGCTTCAGTTGTCTGAATGGTGTTGGGGACCATGGCATAAAGACATGCATAGGGGCCAGCCCCATGGCTTAGCTGTTAAGTGCGTGCTCCACTACTGGCGGCCCGGGTTCGGATCCCGGGCGCGCACCGAGCACCACTTCTCCTGCCATGCTGAGGCCGCGTCCCACATACAGCAACTAGAAGGATGTGCAACTACAACATAGAACTATCTACTGGGGCTTTGGGGGAAAAAAAAAAAAAGAAGGAGGATTGACAATAGATGTTAGCTCAGAGCCGGTCTTCCTCAGCAAAAAGAGGAGGATTAGCATGGATGTTAGCTCAGGGCTGATCTTCCTCAAAAAAAAAAAAAAAAAAGACATGCATAGACATAACTTTGTATAGCCTATGAAGATATTACCCTTGTAAGGAGAGAGAAACAGGCTCAAAGATGTTGTTACTTGCCCACAAGGTCCCAAGGCTAGTAAGTGATGGAGTGAGTATTGAGTTTAAGATTATGGTTCAAACCCTAAACCCTATGGGCCAGACAGACTCTCTGGACTATATTAGTCGTCTAACCACCACTGAAAATAGATATTTTCCTGCAAAATTCCATTCTAAATTCTAAACAGCCAACCCGCAAAAGTAATTCTAGCTACCATTAGGTGAGCATCTATCATGAGCCAGGAATTTTACTCACACAGTCTCTAGTCGTCCCCAAAACCCTGCAAGTAAGGGAGAAATGGAGGTGCAGAGAGGGTCAGTGGCTTGCCTCAGGCCACATGGCTAGTAATTGTTGGAGGAAGGATGGGATTTGAACCCACATTCTTTCCATTCCATCTCCCAAATGAAAATTTGAAACATAACCTAGACAGGGATCTGTAAACTTTTTCTGTAAAGGACTACAGAAAATATTTTCAGCCTTGTGAGCCATACAGCCTCTGTTGTAATTACTCAATTATTCTGCGCTAGTGGAAAACAGGCATAGAAAATACCTAAGTTAATGGATGTGGCTGTGTTCCAATAAAACTGTTCTACAAAAAAATAGGCAATTGGCCATAGTTTGCTGACCCTTGGCCTAGACAATAGCTGGAAAGCCCTTAAATGCATAAGCCTTTTTCATTTCTCTTGGCTCTTTTGTTGGGGAGATATTGGATTAAATATTAAGAGAAGTCTTTAGGATTGGAATCAGATATCAGTATGAACTCAGTTTTTTAAAAAGATACATAGATGGATACAGAAATAAATATATATGTATGTGTGTGTCCAAGTTCTGTCCACAGAGATGCCCTAGCAGTAATGACACCCCAATAGCAATGAGCACATTCAAACCCTTGATATTGGTTTCTAATACTATTCTCCAATAAAAGGAACAAGGTGTGTGGGGGCCTGGTGGCATGGTGGTTAGGTTCGCACACTCCGCTTCAGTGCCCCAGGGTTTGTGGGTTCAGATCCTGGGCACAGACCTACACATTGCTTATGAAGCCATGCTGTGGCAGGCATCCCACATATAAAGTGGAGGAAAGTGGGCAAGGATGTTAGCCCAGGGCCAATCTTTCTCTGCAAAAAGAGGAGGATTGGCAACAGATGTTAGCTCAGGGCTAATCTTCCTCACACATACACAAAATGATAGGAACAGGAGCTCCTTGCAGAAATGGTTGATTCTAGGGCTGGGACAGGGGAGTCACAAGATAAGCCTGGAGCATCTGTGGCACAAGAAAGCAAGGAAGTACCCAACAAAACTAAAAGATGGGGAACTAGGAGCAGCACAGAGCCAACCTGAAAGGACTGCCAATGGCCAAGGGGAACAATTGGAGCAGCAAAAGTAAATAACAATATTTTTGGATTAAAATCCATAGAATAAGTATCCAGGAGTCCACACTGATGTAAATAAAATAATTGAATAAATAAATAAAAGAAGGAGAAGGAGCAGCTCTTCCTTAGAGAAGAATTATAATTAATAAATGTTGAAGGACTGAGAGAAATAGAAAACTGCCGTTAGAACACCACAGTAATCACTGTTGTGGGCAAGATCCATGGATGAATGCTAAAATTACTGGGCATAAGTTTGAGGAGAAACAGGATATTTGCATGGTCTCAAAGTATCCCCTCAAGATATTTAATTACAGAGGGATAAAGAATAACTTGATAGCAGAGAAACCTGGCAGACACCACGTTAACCAAGTGGTCAAGGTTAACATCACCAGTAAGACATACAACATCACATCCCCCCTGATATCATGAACTGAGGAGGACGCATCGTCTCTGTGGTATGCTTCCCAATAATCCATGACCTCATTCACATCTTGAGGGAACATCAGACAAACTCAAGTGAGAGGCATTCTCCAAACTAACTTACTAGTACTCTTCAAAAGTGTTAAAGTCATGAAAAACGAGGAAAGACAGGGGCACTCTCACAGATTAGACAGACGCATCAACCAAGGCAGTGTGGGATCCGGGACTGGATTCTGAACAGAGAAAAGTATACTAGTGGGAAAACCAGTGAACTCCAGATGAAGTCTGTACTTGAGTTAATAGTATTGTGTTTATGTTCGTTTCTTAATTCTGATAATTGTACTATGGTTATACAGATGCTAACATTAGGGGAAGATGGGTGAATGTTATACTATATTATTTTTGCAACTTTTCAATATGTCTAAAATTATTATTATTTGTGTGTGTGTGTGAGGAAGATCAGCCCTGAGCTAACATCTGCCAATCCTCCTCTTTTTGCTAAGGAAGACTGGCCCTGGGCTAACATGCATGCTCATCTTCCTCCACTTTATATGGGATGCCGCTGCAGCATGGCTTGACAAGTGGTGCATCGGTGCACTCCCGGGATCCAAACCCCAGGCCACCGAAGCGGAGTGCGTGCACTTTGCTGCGCCACCCGGGCCAGCCCCCTAAAATTATGTTTTTTAAGAAAGGAGAAGTCCTTTTTTTTTTTTTTTTGAGGAAGATTCACCCTGAGCTAACATCTGTTGCCAATCTTCCTCCTTTTTTCGTTTTTTCTACCCAAAGACCCCGGAGACGGTTGTATGTCATAGTTGTGCATCCTTCTAGTTGCTCTACGTGGGATGCTGCCTCAGCATGGCTTGATGAGTGGTGAGTAGGTCTGCACCCAGGATCCAAACCAGCGAACCCCGGGCCACTGAAGCAGAATGTGTGAACTTAACTGCTACACCACTGGGATGGCCCCAGAAAGGAGAAGTCTTTGGGTTGATGTGCTTCGTTGTTCCTTATATTTTGACTTGGTTTAGCTTAATTTTTAGTGTCCAGACTTGGGTAGTAGATTAGTGGAAAAAATGTGGGCCACCCCCAAAACAAAATTGTGTTATCTGATGTGTCCATTCTGTTGCTTAGAGGGCTGCCAGAACAGTTCTGTTTCTCCCCCGCATCGTGAGTGTGGCTTCCACATGAGTTGCAGAGTAGTTGCTGCATTAAACTGCATGGACTTTGTATTCAGGATGATGTGAATTAAATCCCATCTCTGC